TATTTTTGTCTTTTAACCTTCATATTAGTTTTATAAGTGATTTAGTACACCTTTGCAACATAAGGTTATTCTGAATTTTATCGTGTATTTATCTTTACCAGTATGATTTACACTTTCATATGTTTTCCTGTTACTAGTTAGTGCCCTTTCATTTCAGCTTAAAGAAGTCCCTTTAACATTTCTTTAAAGCTTGTAATGAACTCCTTCAGCTTTTGCTTGTCTGGAAAACTATTTCTCCTTCAGTTCTGAAGGACAGCTTTGCTGGGCAGAGTATTCTTGAAAGTTTTACTTCAGCATTTTGGATGTATCATTGCGATACCCTTCTGTCCTGCAAAGTTTATGGTCAAATATTTGCTGATAGTCTTATGGGGGTTCCCTTGTGTGTAACAAGTTGTTTTTTTCCTGACACTTTTAAGATTCTCTCCTTTTCTTTAACTTTTAACAATTCAATTATACTGTGCCCTGGTGTGGGTCTCTTTGGGTTCATCTTTTTTGGAACTCTTTTTTTGCTTCATGGATGTGGATGTCTGTTTCCTTCCCCAGGTTAAGGAAGTTTTCAGCCATTATTTCTTCAAATTAGTTTTCTGCCCCTTCATCTCTCTCTCTCTTTTCTTTCTGAGACTCCTATAATGCTACTATTAGTCTACTTGATGATGTCCTTTAAGTCCCTTAAACTATCTTCACTCTTAATTTTTTCTGCTCTGATTGGATGCATTCTACTGCCCTGAAGTTCACTTGTCCTTCATTCCACTTCACATAGTATTCTGTTGAACCCCTCTATTGTATTTTCTGGTTCAGTTGGTGTATTCTTCAGCTCTATGAATTCTACTTGGTACTTTCTTAGATTCTCACTTTGTTTATGCATAGTTTTTCTGACGTTGATCAGCGTCTTTATGACCATTATTTTGAACTCTTTATCAGGTAAGTCCCTTATCTCTATTTTATCCCTGAGGTATTATCTTGTTCTTTCATTTGGAACATAGTCCTGTTTCTTCATTTTCCTTGACTATGTTAGTTTCTATACATTAGATAAAATAGCCACCTCTCCCAGTCTTGATGGAGTGGCCTCATGTAGGAGACAAACTTTCTCCTAACTAGTTTTTTAAAAGGTGTTGAGAAAAAATACCATTAAATTTCATTCAAAGAATGCATCTGCTTTATTAATGCTTTTAAGTGCCATTATTATCTTACTTTGTTATGTAACACATGCTTCTTATTAAATGCTATTTCTATAATAGCAGTATTATTTTTTTATGTATTGTTACATGTGCTATTGTAAAAATAGTGTGTATTAATAGAATCATAACAGTATGAATGCTTTGATTTGTTCTCAGTAATAATTTTAAAGTTATTGACTTATGCCTTGTTTCTAGACAGTTGAAATATATAAATTAAAATTTCAACCAAAAAAATCTCAGATTAACACTTTAAGGTTTTTTTTGGTCCTTGTTTTTCTCTGATTTATTTAATTAGATACAATAAATTTAAGACCTGTAGCATAAATCCTACTATAATAAAAACACAGGCAGGTTAATAGACTAGTACATAAAAATTGGACAAAATGCCTTACTAGATAGAAATTTTTCCATTTTATATTCTAGGGGAAAGTTTAGTTTCACTTGAGATACATTTAATGTTGTTTATCTTGAAGACATGTAAATTATTTCCAAAAATATTTTATCATATTTCATAAGAGGGCATTTATTTCTTTTCCAGAATTCTCTATGTTTCAATTGGTGATCTTACCTCATCTCATGGCTTCAGATATAACATGTGCTCACTACTCCCCAATTTTTATCACCAGCTCAAAATCTTCCCCTGATGTTGCCAAGTGTATGTATATGCAATTGCCTACTCAGCATCACCACTTGACAGATAAGACAGTACATGTCCAAAATTGAATTTCTTATCCTCCCAGACAAAAATAATAAGCCCTGATATACCTTCCATATAGGCAAATCCTCCCTTCCATTTGCTCAGTCCAGAAACCTTAGACCTATCTTTGACTTCTCTTTTATATCTCATTTGTAAGCAAATCCTATTACCTTCAAAATATATCCAGCATCTGGTCCCTTCTCCTGACCACCACTGTTGCCACCCTAGTCCAAGCCCTCTTTATTCTTTATATGGATTATTTCTTTCTGCTTTCATCCTTGCTTGCCTACCTTCTATTCTCATCAGCCTAAGTGACCTTTTAAACAAAACTCAGATCACATCATATCTTTTCTCAAACCTTTCAGTGTTTCCTCATTTCCTCCAAAGTAAAAATCAAAGTTCTTACACTGGCTTACAAGGCTTAACACAATCTATTCCTCATACTGCTTTGCTTCTCTGACTTAATAATCTTTTACTACATTTTGCCACCCTGGCTCTTTTGCTTTTCTCAAACACAGAAGGCACCACCTGCATCAGAACCTTTGCACTGACTGAAACACACTCTAGATATCTATGGTATACACATTTTCAGTTCCTTCAAACCTTTTCACAAATGCACCTTTTTTCATTAGCCCTTACACTACCCAATTTGAGATTCAGTTGTCTTCCGTTTCCATGCTCTATTTGTTGTCCAAAGCACCAGTCAAATCTAACATACAATACTATGTAACTTAAATATTTCTTATGTTTATTTTCTTTGGTCTTTTTCTCCTAGTAAAAGTTCCAGAAGGACCAAGAGTTTTGACTGTTCTGTTCACTAATATGTCATCCACTGAGTGACTAATTTTTTTTGAATGAGTGATTGCATGAAGGAACATATTTGTGAAACTCTTCTATGGCATGTGTGTGCATGTACATGTATTCATTGGGGTGGGTGTTTATATAGTAAAACTGCTAACATAGTTTTCTTTCAAAGTATTTTCTCTTGAATTGCAATTGTGTAGAATCTGTTGGCTAAGGTACAACTGGCTTTCCTTCGCTTGAGCTATTTGTATATGGGCAAAAGGTGGTTAGCATTTCTGGATATTTATATCAAACAGCAAATCTGTTTTAAAACCATTTTCAACTTGAAGAGCAATTGTGATAAATACCTGTAGGTTTGTAACTTAGAATTTTTTAAAAACATTATTATTAAACTAGAAATTTAAGGAGAAAATACACATTTGAAAATATAAGATTTTAACTTTACCAATCCCACTATAAGCTTAGTGGAAATTTTCTGTACCTCCCTTTTTTCTTAAACTTTAAACATGTTTTTTTTCATGCAATTCAGGATGGAGAAGTGATCTTTTAGGTAAAATGTTATTGTCAGACAGCTATAGAACTCATACCCTAGTATGTCCTAGAAATTACACAGCATTTGGTCCTTTTAGGATAAGCATATCTGTTAACTCTTTCCCCTATTAAAGGTTGCTTCATAAGTGTCCTTGAGCTCTACCAACACAACATCTTAAGCTTGCTATATTTCCCAAGTCAAATTTCTCCTCTTAACGACAAACAGCAGTACTACCAAATATTTATCTGACTTACTCTGATGGAGAAAATTGCCTGTTTCTTCACTGATTTAAATTTAGTCTTACATATGGACATATTAGTCAGAGTTACTAGCTAATTATTAGTCACATTCAGAATGACTCCGAATTGGCAAAAATAAAAAATACTACTAATCTTCTAAAGAATTATAGAAGTATGAAAGCACCTCCATTGTGGAAAATGTGAGATTTAGAGTAGTTTATCTATGGTACTTTCTACATTTCTAAGAAACAGTCACAAATCTTAAAATTTAGGATAAAATCTGGATTCCAGCCAAATAATCTTATCAAGCCAATAAACTAGGTAAATAAATCTCCATATGTCATTCAATCAAATAGGTTTTAATTCAGTCAAATGCAGTTACAAAGGAATCTCTGTATCCCAGAATATGCATATTCAGCCCATGTGACATTGTGCTATAAGATTCATTTTCATGAAATATAAAACAAGTTTCCCTGGAAGGAAATATACTTGTTCATGGAGCTTAATTTATTTGTATCCAGCTTTTGAGTTATTAAATGTAATTTTTTTCAGAAATTAGAAGACAAATGAAACCAAAAAGCAACAAGGTCTCAGCCTTGTTAACTGCGAAAACTGCTTTATATTCAGTCTTATCTCATTCCAGGGTGACAGCTATCCTCTCTTATTCCATTCAGAAATAATGTGAGGAAAAAACCTTCATAGTGGATTGTGTGCTATTTAGGTGGTCAGCATTCCAAAGTATTTTCAGAGTTGAGACTGTTACAGTTCTGAGGAAGAAAAGGAAATCTTTTGTGATCATATGTTTATTGCTCTTGTGATTTAACAATAGGAAAAATGTTGATAGAAACACCTAGAAATAATTGAGAACTACAGGGTTTATGGCAAGTTTTTCTTCGGTGTGTAGCTGAAAACTAGATTTATAAGCTAAAATAACACAGGTACTCTTAAAATATCCTATGTGCTGCTTTGGTGTTCTCAAGATTTTCTTAAGCTGCTATCATGTCTGGATAATTTGTAATTTTATAATGGAGTTAAGAAAGGGATTAGTTTATCAAAGTCCCATATTATATAAATCTTTGGCCTGAATTCAACATCATATTCATTGCTTCAAATACTATACACTGAGAGAAGGGTTTAGCTGCATTTCAAATGATAGAAAGGAGAGATGTTCTTATAGTCTTACTATCTTGTATTTTATTAATCGTAAGAAAAATGTAAAACAAAAAGTATAGGCTTGAAAATACATTCCCAATATATAAACAAAAATCAATAAAATAAGGATTATATAATATAGCATTAAACAGCAACTTGAGATTTAACATGTTTGATGTAGATTAAAAACTTTCTTGGTAAAGATGGTATTTTTTTTTTTCCTTTGCAGCAACCACTTTAGAAGTAATCTGGGTTGATTTAAAAGTGAAGGCTTCATCTTCCAAGGGGCTGGGGAGGACAGATCTGAAATATTCAGGGCCAGAATTCCTGGCTACTTACCTGATGGCATTTTGCTTTAAGTGTTAACATGCTTTGCTTTCCAATTCTTTTTATTCTAGTCTATGCAAGGGAAACTTTCTAAAGAAAAATTGACCACTCAAAATATGATGGAAGAGCTGGAAAAGAAAGAAAGAAACCTACAGAAATTAAGAAAAACATTGCTTGATGTGAGTAGAAGAAATTCAAATTGCTTTCAAAGGCTGATTTGGTACCTAATTTAAAACAAAGGCTAATTTTATACATATACATAGGACATTTTTAAATTGAAGATTTGATTTGATGTGCCAATTGATTAATCCATTAGGTTTATTACAAAACTGTAATCAGAAACACAAACTTCAATTTTTCTTGTGTCTTAGAATACATTTCTGCAGATTTAGCTATAGCAAAGTCAAATGTTATGTAGAGATTACACCCCAAAGTCCTCAAATAGGGCATAAATTGAATTTCAGCAAAATGACCCTTGAAAATCCTTAAGGAAGGTATAATTGACACGTCATCACTGGAACAGATCACACTTTCTTCATTTAATTACAAGATAAAATACTTAGCTTGCATTTAATGCATGTTACACAAATGTATACAAATGTCATTCAATCAGTTTAGTTAGTATACTAAATGTATGTTATACAAAAAAATACTTATTTTAGTTTTATAACTGTTATCTTGACATTTTGCTTCCAATTGCTTAAGAAAGTATCTCCAAAAATCAGGAATTTTTTTCCTATATAACTCTACCTATTTCCTATATAACCATTGTCACACACAATAAGAATATTATTCCTTGATATTCAATAATACCTAGTCTAGAATAAAATTTTTCCACTTCTTCCTCAAATGTTTTTTATAGTGATTGTTGGAACCAGCATTCAGTCAAGAACCATGAGTTACATTTCATTTTTGTCTTATATTATAAGGTCTCTTTTTTCTCCTATATTAGTGCCTTATTGACAAAAGTGGGCTTACTATCTTATAGACTTGTAGATTGTTAGACCTAGATTTGTCTGATTGCTTCCTCATGGTGTCATTTATCTTGTTCTGTACACCCTCTGTTTCTTGCAAGGTAGAAGTTACAGGTAAAGTTATCTTTACATTCAGGTCAAACAGTTTTTGGCATGAACAGTTTGTGGGTATTGTTCACATCGTCAAATTATGTGTTGGGTTATTCCACTTTAAGTGACAAATACTAATCTCATTTAGGTTAAGATGATTCTTAACCATTGTAATGTTATAGCCTCTGCAAATAGTAATCTGTGGGTGATATGCTGGTGGTTTGCTAATACCCTTTGCCTTGATGGTTTTGGGTACCAACTGGTGATCATTGCCTGAATCATTAGATGATTAAAAGGATAATTTTTTTCTTATTACATCATCATCATTCATTTTACATTTATTAGCTGTCATCTATTAAAAAATATTTTCCTCATCAACACAGGCTATTGCTTATTCTGAAATACAGTCTCAACTGGAAAACTAATTAAACTTACCTTGAATTAGCAATTTTAAGGCTGAGGAGTAGATGGTGACAATTTGGGGGGATGGGGTGAGGGTAGTTTTTTCCAATGTAATAAAGTTTGAGTTCCTATTGATACCTCCAACTCAAAGTTAACAATTAAGAGTGTTTGGGGGTTTTTTTCCTTCTTTGATTTTTATATTTGTATTTATTCTTCTCTTACACTGGAAATTTTAGTTCCTATCAACATTAACATAATATACTTTTTTCTCAATATACAAGAAATAGTTTCAAAGTAACTAAATCACTATTGCTACTAACAATAAAACTACAGGATGAGCTTTTAAGTTTCTTGTAGTTCTTTTTGTTCTTGGAGTAAATCTCAGAAAAATACATACACAATCTCATTATGTAAGATGCTCATTATATAAGATGTGCATTAGGTGAGAGCATAAGAGACTCCTAGAAACTAAGACTATTTGGGTTTATGTTTCCTCTCTCAGGTTTACCCTTGGGCATCAAATAGCACAGAGGAAACATTTCCACTATTTAAATTATTTTTCTCTTTTCTTTCCTACTGTGTGTATGCAGCTAAATTTGGTTAATACCCATATAATGTGACTCTGTTTGTAGACAGGGAAAAATGTGAATGTTAACCTGTATTGCTTTTGAGTACTTTTCTCTGTTCTAAAAATCTTATTTTTGTTTTCTTTATCCATTGCAGAATCAAGGGCAAACAGAAGAGACATGCTCTTTATTGGATCAGGGCCAGGAAGCAGACCAATCTAGGCAGCAGACAGTTCTCTCCAAGTGGCCACTATTTGATTTCAGTGTGATTGATCAGCTGTTCAAGGAAATGTCTTATTGTTTGTTAGACTTAAAGGCATTATGTAGTATTCTTAATCAGCGTGCTCAGGGCAAAGAGCCTAATCTTTCATTATTACTGGGAATCAGATGTAAGTGGCTGATGTTTGTCCTTACTGTATTGCTTAACAATTAGAAACCTGTCTTAATGAATTAGGAACTTCTGCCTTTTCTCTGTCTCCTTTCCTACTTGGATTTATAAATCTCTGAATCAGTATGTGTGTGTTTGAGTGCCTGTTACTGTGTCATTGCAAGAGCTTAACCTCATTATACTTAGAGAGATGAGCAGCGACATAGCTGATACAGCCTGCCACTTGGCAGAATTGCACATCTGCCTGTGTGAATGAGCTATGCTGAATCTCTGTGACTGGAGTGGTAGTTAGGTGTGATTTCCTGATTACTTTTCTAAAAAGTAACAATTTTATTTGCTTTCATATGGTAATTATATAAATTAATGACCCAGTTATCTGTCCATGGTAAAATAGTTGAGAAGAAATATTTGCTTGCTGTCCTCTACAGTGTATGTTCTATGGCAGTTGCTAAATGTAAATGCTAGTTCTGACACACAAGGCAGTTTTTGTGGCCGACAGATCTGCTTCCCTTGGGATGCTTACCTGCTGGCTTTGTCTGGTGCAGTGTAACCCCCGCCCGTTCTGCCTCATTTCTGCCCTCCTCCACATTTAGTTGTGAGAGCTGCTGCAGGAATACCCTACTGTCCCTTCCCTTCTGTGCTTTTTCAGGAACACTCATCTCTGCATGTGGTCCTAAATTATTATAATAGTGATATGTTGGTCTCTTTAGTACAAAAGAAATGGACATCAATAAGGAGATAGGAATGGAGTAAGGCCATAAGGCTTATGCACTAACATGTATTGAATAACTGCCTAATAATATGGTTAATATGTGACTAGAATGAGGTCTGGTTTTGTTTCCAGTTTCATCAAAAATATTCTACCATCTTACATCATATTAGTTTAGCAAACCAAATAATACTCTTGATCAAAGTATAGCACTTGTTAAAAATCACTAGTATATCACTTGTGTTCAGATGTCTGCAGAATTTTCCCCTCAACTTCATAGATGTGTGTATACGTAATTGAATGTGGGTATCTAAAAACAACCCCTCAAAGTTTAAGTATATTCACTCACTCAGGAAGTAATTATTAAATGCTTTCTGTAGTCCAAGCACTAAGGTGCTGATGATGTACATAAATTGAACACAGCTCTTGCCTACATATTAATCAAATTATTAAAGCATTGTAATAAGTACTGTAATTGGAAAATGGACAAAGGATGGGCAGGGAGGTGGGGAGCAGAAGGGGAAAAAAACAACTAAATCTACCTAGGAAGGGCTGTGAAGGCTCCATGGAATAGCTGGTGTTTGGCAAAGGAGAAGTTTGCTAGGTGAACATGTGGTGGTTTAGTTAACAGTGTCTATTGGAGCAAGAAGCAAAAGCTTACACACAAAAGACTCATTTTCTACACCATTTTAGAGCTGGCCACTCTTCAATTATTTTGTAACTTTCTACATTTGCACTATCCTATGAAGTATTTAACTTTTCCACTAATAGGATAAGAGATTTATCCTAATATGAATAAAAGGGAGATTGAAGAGTATTGCCATATTCACTTCCCAGTGTATACCCCTTCTAGTTTTAAAGTTTAGCCCTAGAATCCTTACCTTTTAGTTTGGCACTGTGAAAATTTGACCATCCAGCTAATTTTCAAAAATCAGTGAAGTATTTTGAATCCTTATCTCAGCAGTCTGTCCATTATCTGCTGACAGTGTTCACCTCACCCTTCTCAAAACTCTGCTGACACAGCTTCTGTGACATTATTCTCTAGGCTCTGCTTCTACCTTTATGACTGCTCAGGCTCAATCTTTTGTAGAATTCTCTGCTACTTAAATATTGGCATCTCCCAGGAACCTTTGCTGTTGACTTGTTTTCTCTTTTTATATACTTTCTCTGAGTAATCTTATCCATGTCCTGTTGTTTTCTGTTATTGCTGAACCTTTGACCCATACAGATACTTATCACTCACTTGTATGCTAGAACCAGCTGTTTCCTAGACATTACTGAGTCATTATGTCAAAAACAGAATCTACTTTTCTTCCCTCCCTAAACCTGCCTCCCCTCTCAGTGAGGATAGCATCACCACCCATCTGTTGCTACAACCCAGATTTTAGCTTCCACCCTCTTTCCTCTGTCTGTGTATGCCCCATGCCTAGTCACTGATGCCTACCCAAGTTTATGATGGTTGAGCTCTATCTTTTCTATCAGTCCTCTCCTACTTGTAGCATTTATTCCTACCATTGCATCTTCATTACACTGTTCCCTTAATTCAAGCTTTCATAGCCCTTCATCTGGACTGGTCTCTCTATCTCGTTAATCCCCTTCCCCTGCAAATCATTTTTCACATTGCTGCCAGAATGATCTTTCTAAATGCTGATTCTGATTTCCTAATACTTACACTCCCCTTAAACAAAGAGAGGTATCCTCCACCTGCTTCTCCAACCTTCTTTCTTAGCATAGTTCTCTCTCATAATCTGTGCTCTCCCATTTTAGAGCTGGTTACTGATTTTCTTGAAGTTTCTTGAATTCTATCAGAATATTTGGTTTTCTGCCTTTTTACCTTTGTTCATTCTGCTCCCTTGGCCCATCCAGGAAACCTGCCCCCTCTTCGCTTAGGCCTGGTTGTCATCTTCCTTGTGCCTCTGTAGCCTGTATGTAGTGGTAGGCCACCTACAATACCTGACAGCTTGCTTGTTTGTGAAAGTGTATGTAAATCATTAAGAATAAGTCACTATATCCATTATTTTCACATAGCCTGGATCATGATAGGTATTCAATTAGTGTTTGTTAAAATAACAAATAACAATATCTGACTCTCATATCTCCAACAAGCTATCAAGGCCAATGAAAGTGTAATAAGGAAAGGTTTATTTCACAATCACTGGCTCCAACTCCTTTTATACTGAGATATGCTGACAAAGAGAAGAACTGGAGTAAATAGTAAAAACTAGCTGACTCAGGGCCTAACCCTCAGTTATTCAGCCTCTGGGCAACTAGCTATCAGCCTGATTCAGTTGTGTGGGATTAGAGAATACCAACTCAAAAGCAAACACAAACAAACAAACAAATACATACACACACACACACACACCATATATTATAAAAATTTGTTTTGTTTTCACATCAATGAATTTCCACTTTGCAGTCTATAAAAATTTAAGATATTGTTCCTCACTACACAAATGATATTCAGATTTTTGTCAGGCAGAAAGAACTGAATGCTCTAGTTGAGCTTGAAAAGAGCTGTTAAAGCATATTATCTTCTACTTTTAGTGTATTGTCATCCATGTTGAATTTGTGTATGTTACTCTATGAACTTAACAAATTTTAATTCACAAAATTTTAAAAGAACCAAGTAAATAAGATCTATTTAATGTTGAATGATGCCCAGTTTAAACCTGAGCCTAACTGGTATTCAATGTACAACATTATTTCCAATGATAATTAATTTGAAAATTCTAAATGCCTTTTTTCAAAAAAATGTGAGACATTCCCTCCGTATTTTATTTTCATAGCAATGAACTGTTCAGCTGAAGAGACTGAGAATGACCAGAACCCAGAAACACTCACTAAAAAACTGTCCGATGTGTGCCAGTTACGAAGGGACATCGATGAATTAAGGACTACGATATCAGACCGCTATGCTCAGGACATGGGAGACAACTGCATCACCCAGTGATCAAGTGTTGGTCCCACAGCAATAATGATGCTTTGTTAAATGCTGCTGTGTTACAGTTCTTCATATTTCTTTTTAGGACCCATAATGGAAAGTTGCCAGTGACATATGAGTTACATGTAGGATTTCTTTTTCTGTGGATTTGTTGTGGGTATAAAAGGAATATAAGGAGATTTCAAAGGGGCTTATCTAATCAGGCCAAAAAACTGAATTACCATTTGAAAAATGTGATAAACTGTATAAAAAAATTCTGTATTCTCAAACTACTGATTGTAGGACCAAGCTGTGAATAGTGCCCTTCAGTTAGAAGGGTAGGATTTCTTTTTATTCTATAGTTGTGTGTGTGTATGTGTGCAAGTGTGTTTATTCATAAAATTATAAGGATTTTTAGGGTGAAAGCAAAGCTTCTGAGAAAAGGCACATACTGTTTATTCTTGTATTTCTTTTCTTTCATGTAGAAGCTTGTGTTGTACTTTGTCATTTTCAAGGGCTGGCTGAGCAAGAGTTCAAACAGTAGGCAAGTGTTCTAAGGTGGTAACAGCAAGGCAAAACCTTTGTATTTTGAACAACCAGTGTGCTGAGATGATGAGGCTGTGGGGTTGGATTGATTTTAGTACTGTAGATAGGTCAGCTATTTTTCCAGAATTATTTTGGATTGCCTTAGAGGTGTGAAATTTTAATGTGATAATCTTTCATTAGCATTGTAATTTATATATTACAAGATAATTTAAGATAATTTGAACTAATTTTAGTGTATCCTTTACTATTTAAAATCCTGTATTTGTATATATACCAATGTAAACACAGTCATATATAATTAATGCAAACCTTGTAAGGCTTCCTATCAGATGGTAAAAGATTAACAAAGTGACTCTGGAACAATAGCTTACTTATCCAAATCTCAAAGGTTTACATTTTAGCAGTTTGTTTCTGTTTTAAAGTTGAGACTACTTTAAGAAAAAGCCAACTTGAATTCTTTATATCTGAATTATCACTAGCATAAAAACAAAATCTAAATCACGTGATCCACCAATTCCTTTTATTAAGTAAAGTAAATTAAAAACGGTTTCTTCTAGAATACGAACTTGGCCAGGTTAGTTCTTTTTGGGTACAGGATATCACTATGAAATGCAATTGAATTTTAAGTAGACATAGAACTATTTAAGCTTCGAGATGAATATTTCCCTGTTTTTGTTGATATTTTGGAAGGACTATATATTTTATTGCCTTCAGAGCATTCATTACATTATTTTGACTGTACTTAGTTATGGCAGTCAATGTCCTTTACAAATACGTTTGTTTTCTTGATGCAACCAAATCTCATTTAGGTCAAGATTAAATAAATGGTAGAAGAAATAAGGGATGTGAGTCAAACAGGATAATAATTGTTTTGGGCAACAGCTTATCACATATCTGTTTTCTTGCCAGGCTTGTATATTGGTATAAAGGTTATTCCCAGAAAAGATTTTTCTTAAATATTTTCAGCAGTGAAAACATATGTGGGATAAAGCCCCAAGGAAACTACTCAGGAAGACATTCTGTTCAGAATTTGGCTTATATGCAGTGCTCGATAAGTCATTTATAGTTACATTTCATCCGTTAAAATATACTGTAAGAACATCAGACTTCCCTCTGTTCAGTGCCTGAACTCCCTGCTTTTCTCATTAGGATCTGGGCACTAAAAAATCAGTGCACTGTTGTGATTCTGTATACCAACATCCATAACCAAATAAGGAGGGACTTTGCCACTGGTAAGAATTCGACATTCTGACATGTTCCTTTGTCCTGTAATGTTGGTGGTTTGAAGACAATCAGGGAATAGTAAATTTGTACCAGAAATCTGATGCAAAAAATTCTGCCTTGCATCAAATTAATATCTGTAAAAATGATTGTGGAGTAAATAATAACATCTGAAAGAGATAAACCACATGTGCAGTACACTACCTTTTTATACTTTCTTTGGATAGAATCCCTTCCCCCATTCCAGTGTCCATAATTGTGGAAGTAAGGCACCCTAAAATAAATAGTACTAGTTAATGGGCAAATATTCACTTCTTTGGGTCACTACGTCTGTACTTAAATGTCTCCTAGGTTTTTAATGTATGTTTTAGGATTTTATGGTTATTGTTTTAAACAAATTTTTGGTCATTTGTTTTGATCTATCATAGATAATTTTTTTCCGGCTTAGTTAGGATAAAATAACATTTGATTTTTTAATATAAGTTTTCTAAACTTCACAGAATTTGACTTAATTCACATATCTTTTGATAAAAGTTTTTAACAAGAAATTGACAAGCTACTGCTGATGTATTTCAGTTTCCATGAATCAAAAAGGAAAATGAGATATAGTTTAACTAAAACCTTCAGTTACAAAATGTAATCTCCTGGACTCTAGAGTTTATGAAAGGACCTAGTTAATACATAGACAGTCTTGGGGGGCAGTTTTGAGGGAAATGAAACTAGTAGTAGTCTAATCTGTTAGTATTTAACTTTGATTTTGATTTTTCAGAAAATCCCCCTTTCCCAAGACAACCTCCTGTATTAGAATATAATCATATTGGTATCTTATCGAAAACAAAGATTTTACTGTTGGCAAAGTAACATGGGCAATTAGAAACATGACAGGGTCTTGTCCTAGTTTGAACTAGGATATTCTTAGGAGTTATTTCAATGATATATGTCTGAGATGAAAATCAACCTAAATTTTAAAGTAAATCTATTTGAAAATGTCCTTATTAGGAAGTATCTCATTCAGTATTGACATTGATTGTTGGTCTTCTGGGTTTTGAAGTTGAACTTGCGCTGCCTTGGTCACATTAAAGCAGGGATAAAGTAACAGTTGTCTCAATAAAAGAGCCAATCGCCTGGGCATTTAAAATTAACTGAATCAAAAAAGGGATGACATTGGTTAAACTGTTAGTAAATTTCAGTGGCCTCTAATTTTAAAAAGCTTAAGTATTAACCAGGTAATTCATGGCTGATTCTTTTTTTTAAATAAGTGTGGCCCCTTTATATACGTGAAGTAGGATTCAATATTTAATGTTAACAATATTGACATTTATTTTGGTTATGACAATTAAACTGAATTAGACTCCTTTTTATTAGCTTATTAGAGACAATCTCAAGGGCTGGAAAGTGTTGCTAAAATAGATGTACATTTTTGATATACTAATGAGCTTATAAACTAATTTTGTCATAGTTTAAGACATAGGATTCTCTTAGAGGATATTTTGAAAGGAACTACTTTATTGGGAAAATGTTCTTTCAATATCCATAATAGTTGATTGAATAACACAATGGCTGAGAACTTGAACTAAATTTTTACATAGCATAGTTCAGCTCAGCACACCTTTAGTTTGGACTATTGGCATTTTATGTAGATTTCTATCATTATAGATATATGATTATGGTAATAAGCAGTTCTCATAGTCATATTCACCCAGACTATGTCATTTGAAACTGCCAGGAGCTGTATCTCTCAGAGACAAAGTTAATTCATTTAGTTTCCATTTTTGACAATTCTTCTCAGTATTCAGAAAACAAAAAAAACTATTTCCTATTTGGTATAATTTACAGCTTCACCTCAAAATGTCATGGTGGTGTATTGCTGTGTGATAATATTATACATTAATTGTGTAATCATGAAGGGGGAAAGATTTTGGGTTTTTGGATTTTTTTCAGTCATTAACAACACTATTGCAGCTGCATACAGAGAGAACCTTTTGTGCCTTTTTGCCTATAGTAAGTATTCATTTCTATTTTACATGAGCTATAAGAATGTTGATTATTGCACCTTGTTCTTCTGTAAATAGACCTGATTAAGGATTTTTTTTTTAAGCAAGGAGCGATTTTTCATTACTAGGTAGATATCATAGGAAGCATGAGAGGAGGTGTCAGATACATGTCTTTGGAGCCTGTGTAAACAGGGAACTCCTAGGAAATGTACTCTTCTGTGTGTGTATATGTGTGTATATACATGTATAGTTATTTAAATACATAAACATAAAATTCGGCATCACATTGGTGTGATGAAAAGTAGTAAGGTGCTAGGTGGTTACATTAAAAGCACAGCAAAGTGTATAATCAGTCACTGTGACTGGTGGTTTTTGTAAACTAGGTTCAGTTTTTGAACCAACCAGAGTACCTCGTGTAAATACAATGGTCATGACTTAATTGAAATACTGTTATTGTAAAAAAAAAAAATGTGAAGCCACTGGTTGGCTTATGCCTTCTAATCTATCATTCTTGCCTCTTTTTTTGTAAAGGGGTTGTTTTTCTGTTTTGTTAATGGGTTTACAGCTAGAATTTGAATGCCAAAGTTCTATTTATTAAATTTAAAAAGTTTCCAATGTTAATGGCTAAGTATTTTTCCACTGGACTGTTGTTTGTTGATGTTGGAATTTGTATTTACAGAGAAATAAATTTTTATAAAAAGATTTATGTCTTCTATGTGCCTAATGTTAATATAAAAATGTATTTGAAATTTCAGACTGTCCTGAATTCTCAGTGATAAGAGTATGCTGACTTGACTTTTATGTAAAAGCTTTCTATGAGTACACAAGAGAATCTTTGACTAGAACACGAAGACTTCTGCTTTAAGTCTCTATTACAATTTCTCCTCAGTTACTAAAAAGCTTTTTAGGACACGGAGATTTTCTGACGGGTCCAAAATGCAAAGTCATGCCTGTATCCATTTCAACTAATAGTGCTGTGTCTTCCTTCTGAATTTCTAAAATCCCTATTTAAATCAAGAGTCTTCTTTCTACTTTTCCAAAAAACAAAATCCAATTTCAGTTTTCCATACTGCTGAAAGATTGGGCTAACAAGTCAGATATTTTCCCCTTCTATTCAAAGGTTGAAATATTACTGAAACACATTCAAATATGACCTTGTTAAAAGCTTACTGTGCAGTGGACCTGACAACTCAGCTCTGATGGTTTGCCAGCCCCATGGATGGCATCCTTGTTCTTCAGCACATAGGGTCTGTAGCCCCAGTGTCTCCCGTAAGCTGGCTGATATCTGGATTAGCAGTATCTGTTTTCAGCCCATCTAACTTGGTGTTGCACTGTCAGTTTTTTAATGAGGCATCTAATTTCGTTAACAAAAGGATCACTTTGGAAATCATGTATCACAGCCTACTTAGGTTGCAAGCAAATGTCTTAGAAATAAAAGAATGGATAAAATATTTCTAAGGTGATTAGTGAAGAGGTTTCTCCTTCAGAACCAAAGATGTGATTATTTTTGATCTGGTAAAAAGAAGTGTTTGATGGTTGTGTCAACAAAGAGCTTTTGATAGGGTACATCCCAGTGATTCTGCCAATAATTTGAGATTCTTTGTGTGCCTACTTCCCCAACCAAGTAGAATCATTCTGTATAGAAGTACAGAGGACTTAGTTAAAAAGAGGTGTGAAATACATTGTTAGTAATGACATAAAATGGCAGTGTGATTACATAAAATGGCAGAGTGTGAATCCAGTAGAGCAAACACTTTACAAGGAAGAGCACTCTGTCAGTTACGGCAGTCTCCTTGATTTAGAAGAGATTCCAGTTGAGTACTGAAATTGTAAGAGATTTCTAAAATGTTTAAATAAAACTGCTGTCCCTGACAAACTTCAGTGTGATCACAGAAAGAAGTCTGTCCATTTTATCCAACCTGTTTTACTTAAAAACTGTTTCGCTTAAGTACCTCAAAAAAGATCATGTTAAGACCCGTGATTTAAGGCCTCAAAAAAAAAAAGCATTGTCTTTCCAAAGAATTCCTGAATTTTTTCAGTAGTGACATTTGTCAGTGTCTTGGTCAATGTAGAATTTTCCACAATTTGTATTTGTCTGATTCTTTTCTCATGATTGGATTCAGGTTAAATATTTTTGGCAAAAATGTTACATTTGTCTGCACATTTCTCATTCAGCACTTTTGAAAATTCATAATGATTGTACCATTATTGGTGATGCTAAACTAGATCATGTGATTGTGCTAAATGATCACCTTCAGTTTTAACAGTTAAGGGAGGGCAGATGACAAGACCTTGGTCCACATAAAGTAGGGAGTTGGAATTAAGACCTGTACATAAAGCCAGGATCCCCAGAATCACATATAAATAAAGGAAACATATGGGAGGAAAATTTGCCCTCAGTGAAAGGGAATTGGTTTTCAAGGACTCAACCCCAGGCAGGGGAATAAAAAAATGTCTCCTTGATTTGCAACCATAACCCTACATTCACATAGAATGAGGTTTGAACTTGTGCTATTTGTGCGGGCCAAGAATTCCTAAGGCCAAAAGTTGACTTAAAGGGTTAGTAGCTCCTTGGAATCATGGATAGAACAAAACAAATATTGCTGTAAGGAGTATTTTGAATTGAGTCCCCACTGAATTCCCATGAGTTTGTCTGAACATGAGCTCAAAATCCAAAATTTTTAAATACAAGGAAAAAACATTAAAGTCAGCAGAACCAACAAATAACAGGCCCTAAATGTTTCAGATAATTACCAGATACAATACAATTGAAATTACTGTATGAGAAAATTCTTATAAAGTTCAAAACCATACAAAACTCATGTATGATACAGTGACTAGAAGAGGCACAAAGGAATTTATAGTTTCCAGAGCTGTTCCATTTCTTGATTTGGGTAATGTTTACACAGATGTGTTCACTTTGTGAAAATTTGTCAAGCTGTGTCCTTCTAATTTGTGCACTTTTCTATAATTCAATTAAAAGCTTACACTTAAAGAAATGAACAGGAAACTTTGGGAAAAATAGAACTTTAGAAATGAAAAATATAATTAAAAATTAAATGGAGCATTACATAGCACATTAGCTACAAACAGAATTAGCAAACTGGAATATAATCAAGAAGAAATCACCCAGAAAAGGAGGTTTAGAAATATAAAGGATATAATGAGATGGTCTAATAAAAAATTTCTTTGGAGTTTTCAAAAGGAGAGAATTGAGAAGATAGGAAATAAGAAATATTTAATGAGATCATATTAATTTGCCAGGATTGGTAAATTTTTCAGGACAGAGAAAAACATGAATTTGAAAAGTCAAGAAATTCAATAAAACTCAAGCCAGAAAAAGGGAAAAAAAAAACCTACTTGGACACATTGTAGTAAAACTCGAAATCTTAAGTTTAAAGAAAACTTTTAAAAGAGGTAGAAAATAAAGGAAACAATTAGAGCATCAAAGTTCTCAAAAGTAGTAACGAGACAGAAGACAGTAGAATGGTATCATCCAAAGGCTGAACCAAAAGACCTGTCAACATAGAATCATCTAAACTATCATTCACCACTCAGGGCAAAGTAAAGACATCTTTCATAAAAACAAACCTGGGAAGAGTTTAACATCAATGGACCTCAATAAGGAAATGCCCAAATTTCAGGTAGAAACAGGAAATTCAGGAAGGCAGATCAAGAAGCAGGAACAGTAAACAAAAAAGTTCATATACAAACACTATAAAATAGAAGAATTATTTACTTTTGGGCCTTTAGTATGTTGACATAGTTTCCTTCTGCTTTTAGTTTGTTGTATATTTTTATCATGAAAGATGTTGAAATTTGTCACATGCTTTTTCTGCATTGGTTGAGGTGATTATGTGGTAATTTTTCTTTGTTCTTTTAATATGGTGTGTTATTAATTGAGTTTTCTATGTTGAAACATCCTTGTCTTCCAGGAATAAATCCCACTTGGTCAGGGTATATAATCCTTTTAATATGCTGCTGAATTAGGTTTACTACTATTTTATTGAAGTCTCTTCCTTGTTTTTTGGTAGTTTTACTATAATGCACCAAGGAGTGGTTTTGTTTATTTTCCCTGCTTAGGTTTGGTAGGGCTTTTTGAATCTGTGGGTTGATGTCTTTAATTAATACAGGAATTTTCAGCCACAATTCCTTTATGTATTGTTTCTGCCCTGCTCTCTCTCTTCCTTTCATCTGTGACTCCAATTATGTGTAGCTTCTCTTTTATCCCCTCTGTGTCTTAGGTTCTTTACTACTATTCTTTTCCCCCTCTTCTCTTCATTCAGACTATTTTCTTCTGATGAATCTTCCATTCATTATTTATCATTTTAGCTATACTTTATTATCTGAGAAATCCATTGCATTCTCAATATCAGGTATTGTATTTTTCAGTTCAGAATTTCTATTTGATTTTTCCTTAGGATTTTTCAGTTTGCTGCTAGCATTCTCAATTTTGTCATTGATTTCTTGAGCATATTAACCATAAATATTTTAAAGCTCACTATCTGTATTCCTAATTAGTCTCTACTGCCTATTTCTCTTCATTTTTGTAAAGTCTTACTTTCTCACATGCCTGGTCATTTTTGATTGAGAACTGACTATTGCAGATGAAAATATTATAGACATAATTTGAGGCTCTGGATAATGTTATATTACTCCAAACAGGATTTAGATTTGTTTCTGGAAGGGCTAGGGCACTATTAATCAACCCAGGAACTCAGATGACTTAGAGCAAGAGTTTGAGTCCATGGCAGAGCCATTCTACATTTGGGTTAGCAGAGTCCCAGCCCAAAGCCAATGACACTTAGCAGTGCCTCCCCTCCTAAAAGGGCTATGTATTCCAATTTTATCTTCCAACCTAGTGACTCACAGGCCAAATCTAGCCTACCACCTTATTTTTTTAATTATGTTTAATTGGAACATGCTTATGCCCATTTATATATTATCTAAGGCTACTTTTATGCTACAGTGGCACAATTGAGTACTTGTCTGACATCAAAGCCATAAGTTTGGCCTTACAGGAAACCCTTGCCCTAGGTCCACAAGTGTGAGGAAAACTATGCCAGTTTCTCTTCCTCTGAGTTATCTCTTCCAGAGGTGGCAGACAGCAGTAAAGGGAAAAAAGCCCCAAAGCCCAGAGTAGCCTCTTTTAGTTTCTTTCTTCTGTGAATCTTGGACCTATAAATTTTTTTACTGCATCATTAGCTCTCCAATATCTTGAAGTAGATTTTTGTCCCAGCATTTCCTAGTTGTTCTCTGTGGAAGAGTTGATCTGAATTTCCTAGCTTGGAAATCTTTATTAAAAGTTTCTTATAAGACATTTTCACAACCAGTTTTTAAACATTCAGCCTGCCAGTGGGTACTCTACCACCCCTTTTTTGTTAGTTAAAATATTGTTTGCCAGGGTTGTTGTCCTTTGTTACCTTTGATCTAGTTGTTTGCTACAGTGATGTAGGGTGCAGTTAATTCTAGAGTTGTTTTTCATACTTATATGGAACTGTTATCACCACACAAAAATGACTTCCTTTCTAAACTATTTCAATGATATATTTACTTCATCAGCTTCCTTCTCCTCCTAATCCTGCATCTCTGCTTCTGAATAGTATTCAAAGTGGCAGCCCTAATCAAGTTCTCAGAAACCTACAGTCATTCCCCATTGTCTACTAAAGAGACCCTTACCCTGACAGTCAGTGTCCTTTT